TTGTTGGAGGAAAACCTTGTCACATGGAGAAAGCAAGAAGCAGGCTGTTGTTGCAAGGTCAGTTGCAGAGCAGAATATAGAGCTATGGCACAAGGAATAATATGAACTCCTATGGTTGCGCAGATTAATGGAAGAGTTTTAAAGTTTGGTTGAAACAACAAATATATCCTTGTTTTTGTGAAATAGAAAGCAGCCGCATGCAGTATTATGAATAATCCAGTCCAACATGATCGAACTAAAGCACATGAGAATTGATCGTCACTTTATAAAAAAGAGAAGATAGTTGAAGGTGACAGCGTTTTTTCGCAAGTAAATACGAAATCCGCAAAGCAAGTAATATAGAGTAAGAGAGTATCGGTATTCCACAGGGATTGTTTTATCAAGTACCAAAATTATGTTACCTATTATTATTTTAAGAACGACGATAGAGAGATTCACTGTAAGGGTTAAATAGAATCTTAAAGTAAAATAGAAGAGATCAAACATAAATAAACACAAAATTTAGGTGAAAAGAAATCAGAGGATTAAGCTACTAGGGAATTTGATTTCACTTAATTCTATCCAGCTTATTCTATTAGTTTATTAATCAACTATAATTGTTCAAGTAGGAGAAACAACCTTAAAGTTACTAACAAGCTCTCCCGATTTATTGTTAGCTATTCTAATCCAGTTTAATTACCTATCTTTAATAGTGAAATTAAACGTAAATCAGATTATTAGGTTTTGTGGTTTATGGTTGTTTTGTGAATTCATAACTTAAGGTCATTAACTTATGAAAACCCCCCTTGAGTCAAACCATATAGCTTCCGCATCAAGTTGTTATTCTCAAGTAATTTATTACATTTTTCATATCAAAAACCCTTCTCCCGATAGTGATTAATGAAATAATTCAATCCAGGGGAGAAACTCTGCCTGGGAGCTTTAAGTTCAATAATAAATTATAACAAGAATAACGAAAAGCAAATCTAATATTATAAATTGGAATCGAATTAAGCTACATCAAATCCCTAGTATGAGAGTTTAGCTAGACATAGTAATTAAATAAAATAAACTCAAATCATGCTTGGCCACATTCATCATATTTTAAAGACAATAATAAAAGAAAGAAACAAGATGAAGAGTTTTAGAATAAAAACTGTATCACAACTATGTTGATGGCTTCCTTGAATCTTGGCACAATTGTTTTTGATGCTTGAAAATCCTTGAGAAGAGAGAATGGAATTATGTAAAGAAATGCCTAAAAACAACGAGAGATATCCCTTTGCTATGAGAAGTTCCTTTCTTATATAGAGTTCCTGAGGCAAGTCTGATTCTTTTAGGAATAGAATCCTTATTTAATGCAAATCCTTTATAGGAGATCATGACTGGTTTAGAGCTTTTGATTTCTTCTTGACTTAGGACTCCTTTTTTCTCCTAGAATAGGTCCCAGGTCTTGTTTAGTGTGTTTAGGAAACTC